TCATAACCTTTTCCAACAAAAGTCCCATATTTAGATACGACACATTTATTGGACTCAAACACAAGTCTAAAATCTTCTCTACACAATAGAGAGCCGCTAACTAGATTCTTCTTTATTGAAAGGACATGCTGCACGTTCTTCAGCTGCACGGTCTTTCCCGAAGTAAACTTCAGATCGACCGTACCAACACCATGAACAGCCGCAAGCGACCCGTTTCCCATCAACAAGGAGGAACCTCTCCCGACCTGATAAGAAGAAAATAGAGAAAAGTCAGCACATACATGAATATTAGCACCAGTGTCCACCCACCAATCAGGTGAATGAAAAACAGAGAGAACTGTAGGTAATATTTTGCCGTACCCCGATGTTCCTCCGTCCTCGCTAATGATCATGTTGGCAGACTTCCTGTCTTTGCGCTCAGGACAGTCCTTGGCCCAATGCCCAGACTTGCCACACACAAAGCAGTCTCCCTTTGCCTTTCCCTTGCTTTTCTTCTTAAAATTGGTTGCAGCCTTGGGTTTGACATCAGGCTTGACTTTCTTGTTGTTGTGGGATGCATGAGGGTTCTTCTTCTGTACCATATTGGCACTAGAACCTCCCTCAACCTTTTTGCCCCGGACGTCCTTTGCCCTCGCCTTCTCCTCAACACCCAAAGAGCCAATGAGATCAGGAACACTGAACTCTTGTCTCTTGTGCTTTAGAGAAGTGGCAAAGTCCGACCAAGAAGGTGGTAGTTTGGCAATAATGCCACCTGCCACAAACTTGTCCGGCAACTCACAGTTGTTGTTCTCAAGTTCCTTAGCCAGCATCTGAATCTCATGAGCTTGTTCAACTACAGAACGGTCATCGACCATCTTGTAGTCATAGAACTGCTCCATAACATACAGCTCACTGCCGGCGTCAGAAACTCCGAACTTGGCCTCAAGTGCATCCCACATGTCCTTCCCAGAAGGCATGTGCATGTACACGTCCACTATGTTGTCAGCGAGTACACTGATCAATGCTCCACGGAACAGGCAATCCGAAGCCTCGAACTTAGCCTCTTCCTCAGGAGAAAGAGGTGGTTCACTTCGTTTGCCCCGTGAAACATAGAAGCACTGCATCGCTGTCAACCACAATAGTGCACGTGCTTTCCATCTCTTATAGTTTGAACCATCAAAGGCATGTGGTTTCAGTGCAGCAGCAAAGCCAACTACCGAAAATGACCTATCAGGTTTTTGGATTGTTGGAAATTTGGTCATAATTCGGCATATTTTAATCCAAAATAACAAGATAATAAACATGATATTTACAATAGGATTTGATCCAGTGATAGTGGTGAATGTAATCAACATGAGCATGCTTAACGTTGAATAAGCATCAACAATCACATAATGACACAATGTTGACATTGCGATGTACATTAACAGTAAAACTTCTAATTGAAATAATGTAATAAGGTTATACCCCAAGAATGGTCCTCCGCTGGAGTTTGAGGCAGTATTGCCTCCGTTGGTGTTGACGGGAGTCTCCTTCTCCTTGTCTCCAGTGTTCGACATGTTGGTGAAGATGAAGTAGATGTTGACGAACAGTGAGTAGTCGCGCCTTGCGCTCCCCAAAAACCTGATCGCCCGCCCGTCTGTGCAAACGTCGCAGCAACGCGTGGTTTCGGAGGCCTACTCTCCCAACGCGTGTGCACACACTCGTCGGGATGGGATTACCGTAGCAACAACAGCTTTGGAAAATGGATGAAAGTGTGTCTTCTTTTTCTCGCGGGAGATCAAATCCATTCCCATTTTATAAGAGGAATGGAAGATGAAGAGTAAGAGTCATGGAATAGGAAGAGGAATGGAGCAACTAATTGTCATCAACTAGCCATGAACCATCCTCCACTACACAACCATCAACCAACAATCAATTAAGAGTAATTGATGTAAGTTACCAATGGAATAGGAAGAGGAATAGAGCAACTAAATGTCATCAACTAGCCATGAACCATCCTCCACTACACAACCATCAACCATCCATCAATTAGGACTAATTGATATAAGTTACCAATTCCTTAATCAAATGGATTAATTCTCAAAACTCTTCATCCCATTGATATCCCATAGAAGAATGAATTCACATGAATTCCTAGCATAATGAGCCTTGGAATTTATTTGATTTAATTGATTTAAATGGATTAATTACCCAATTAAATCTAACATTTCTTTCATGTCAAAAGGTATTCCTAATTAGCAACGCTAAGAGACCATTATTGGCAACCATTGTACATGCCCTTAGTCCGGTCTTTCTGACAATAATTATTGGCAACCATTGTATATGCCATTAGTCCGGTCTTTCTGACAATATGTGTGACTGAGAGGGCCTAACTTCAACATAGCCAAAATTTCGAGGTTGCGAGAATCGGTAAACTGATCATTTTTTTTAAAACAAAAAATTGAATTTCAAAAAAAAAATCATAACATTTGTTAAAATTTTATTGGGTTTTAATGGTTTATAATGGAGAAAGCCGCCAAGGAGTGAAACTGAAATAGTCAATAAATTTGTGAATAATCAACTTTTTTTTGTTGTCCCACGTTAAAGGATGTTGTTTCCAGTCGCAAAGTTTCATATTAATAAAACATGTTAAAATACGTAAAACTTCAACATTTGAAGGCTATAATAAGAAAAAAAATGAAAAAAAAATCACACACCACCTGTGCTGAACACTTGTACACACTACGAAGCATGACCTACAATACAACCAACTACTCGTCTAGCTCACCCAACACCATCTCTAGACAGATCAGAGAAAACTCGAAGGCTCCTGGACATCATTATTGAGCAGACTAGGTGATTCTCCGCGCTTTGCTGTGAAAATTGCTAAGTAACTTATAATATTTTTTTAATAATCGAGCTAAAAGTAAAAAATTATATTAGTTATTAACAACAAATAAAATTGGTTTTTCAAATTATATTAAGAGAAAAATAAATTTAGTAGACTACGTATAAGATTGTAGATAAAATATGATATCCCGCACTTTGATTATATGATGTTAAGTATTATAAAAATGATGGGCCTGTTCGGCTGCTAGGGCTGCGGCTGCGTCGCAGCCGACACGGATAGTGCTGCACTCACTGTTTTTTCTATTATAATATGTTTGTTTTGTGTTGAAAATATTGTTATATTTTTAACTTAAAAATGTTTAAGTAGAAAAAATTCAAAACGATTTATGATATGAAACAGAGGGAAACGACTTATAATAGGACAAATTGACCAAATTTATTTATAATAGGAAAAACTTGACCATGTTCATTTTTTTTAAAGCAAACAAGAAATTTTGTTACTCATGATCCGAGATATCCTTGGCGACCAAACGAGTGATACAAACTGGAATTGCCACCAGTACTAGTTCAGACTGAGCGGGGCAAGCAGAGCCAAGCAGAGCTAACACATGATCTACTCTATTACATTCTCTAGACATATATGACTAACCTGAAAACTGACAAAATTTGTCACCAACAGTTGTTTCAGTTCAAGCACCAAGCCACCGCAAATGGAGAGATCATAGTCCGTAGATATTACTGCTTGTTTAACCATTGCCGCATCAGTTTCCAGGGAAATTCTCCCAATTTGCAGCTGTAGAACCATTGCCTCAACTCCATACACACGCTGTGAGTTCAGCCTGAAAAGCAGTAGAATTCTGGAGGCATCCTCTACCTGCTAGTACAACGTCTCCATCCGAATCCCTAATGATATAGCCCCACCCATCTGCTTGCTTCTCATGTGAAAAGGCCCCATCGCAGTTCAGTTTCGAAGTGCCAATTGCTGGTTTCTCCTAGCGGGCAGCAGCGGAGGGGGTATCTTACTACTACTAGAGTCCGATCGTTTGGTCCAATAAACCGAAGCAAAAGCTAAAATTTAAAATTTAATTTGAAAGTTAATTTTAAGATATATTCAACTTAATTTCTTTTTAGCGTTGGCTTTAAGTCACTACAAATAAATATTACCTATAAATGAATTTTTATTCCCTAATAAACCGTTTTTACTTATTAGGAAATATGGAGAACCGACAAGACGCTCAGTACAGCTTGTCCAAATTCGTTATATAATATACACACATATATATATATATATGTTACATCCAACCAAAATCTCTTATATTTAGAGATAGAGGGAGTATCTTTTTATACTTTGGTTTTATTATTGTCATCAGTGTTCGCCATCAATTAAATATACTTTTTAATTGCTGCATTGACCTTATTGCTCCACATTGTAGGTTCTCTCTTTTCTGTCAAATTTGTTCAGGTACACAAGTTTGTTGGTGTTGACCATCCTCAAGCAAATAAGGTGCAAAGAGTCCTGAAGAGGCTGCTAGAATATAGCACGGCCTCAACAAAGAGAAGATTGGTAAGTTCGAATATTCTGCTTATTTTGATTTTTGCTGATTATAGTTGGGAATGATCAAGACCAATTGTTCTAAAAAGTTCTTAAGCTGTATAGGTGCCTGTTAGGCTGTATGGGCTAATGGGCGGTACAAGGTGGGTGACTGCACAAAATACCAAAACCTGCAAAACCTGCAACATTTTGATGACAATAGCCAATAGGTCATCCTATCGTGCTATCTTAATGGTTCGTACATTTACTTCATATTAAGAATGATCGAACATTTGCTTTATATTCATTATTTGAAATATACTTTTTAATTGCTGTATTGAGCTATAAAATGCAACTTCACATATCCCGATTTGACTGATGCTGCTGTCAATGGCTGGCTCTGTTCTCGTTGAGGCATCACCGCATGGATCATGATTTATTTTGGGGTGTTGGAAGCGAGGACAAAGGTATGAATTACTTGGGCAGATTGCTGATGCAATCGAGATTAGAGATTCTGGGAACAATTAGGCGGACTGATTGTCTGGAGATGTGATCATAGCACCTCTTGGAAGCTTATTGCCTAATTATAATGTACTCTGGTGCCATCAAATTTGTGCGTAACATTGTGTTTTTTTTTTTGGTGTGCTTTTAATTCCTATATAAAATCAAGATGCTTGAAACCATCTTTCTTTTACTTAATCCTCTTCTAAAAGAGTTTCAGGTTTTGCGTACTATTATTACTTAACCTCATACGTTATCATCCCCAAGTTATGAAGATATCCAATTTACAAGTGTTCATAAGATGCACAGTCAGCCCAAAAAAAAAAAGCATTTCGATGGTGTTCCTAATTTCCCCTTAATCCATAGCTATGTACTGGGTGGTTGCAACTTGCAACTATCTTGGTTCAAGTTCTGTGATCGTCACCTTATTGAGTGAAGGATTCAGATTGTTAATACCATGATGGATATGGTTCTCATCATTCAGCCTAAAGAGAAAGGCAGGCCTGGAAGGAGCTGGCAAGGTTGTAGATTTCCCAACGATCATCAGAATCACATTGGACATCCGGGGCCTATCACCTGGATTCTCTTGAACACACAATAGTCCAATGTGTATGCACTTGAGAATCTCGCTTTCGGCACTTCTACAGCGCAATGATGGATCCACTATCTCTGTTATTGTGCCCCTAGTCCAATTCTCCCATACCTGTGCACAAATTATGACACGTATCAGAAAGCTACTGCCTCCGTTTCAAATTAGTAGTCTTGACTTTTTTCTTATAAAGTTTGACCATTCGTCTTATTTGAAAAGAATAGTGCAAATATAAAAATAGAGAAATCATACTTAAAGTACTTTTGATAATAAAGAAAATCACAAAAAAAATAATTTCATAATATTTTGAATAAGACGAAAGATCAAAAGTTATAAACAAAAACTCAAAGCGATAAGTATTCTAGGACGGAGATAGTAACATATAGCCAGTCTTTTTAGAATAGGGACCAAGTAAATAAAATACTGACATAGCTTAAAAGATGCTCAGTCCATATTGTTTCAGATGAGATAGTGTTTCTCCTCCCAGTCAATATTTCTAGAATAATTACTCCAAAGCTAAAGATATCTGACTTAGTGGAAACATGACCAAGAACTGCATACTCAGGTGCCATATATCCACTGCATATATTGAAAAATAAAAAGCAGAACATTAGTTCTCTGGGAGGAGGTAAAAATTTCCAATGATCAACTAGAACTAGCATAATTGTCTTCACATATACTTACTAGGTTCCGGCAACTCGTCTTGTGATATGATTTGTGTGGTCTCCCTCAAAAACACTTGCCAAGCCGAAGTCAGATATCTTAGGATTCAAATCCATGTCAAGTAATATATTGCTTGGTTTTAAATCCCTATGTATAACTTTCACACGAGACTCATCATGTAGGTATACCAAGCCTCGAGCAATACCACAAATGATCTTGTAACGTGCATCCCAAGCCAATTGTTCACGCTTTTTGTCATCTATATTTAAATCTTGTAAATAAATCATTGCATATAAAAAGTACATCTTATATATGCTAGCAAAATATAAAAGTTGTTACTAACTTTCAAGGTCCAATATGGTGCATGTGAGTGATAAAGGTAAACATTGCAAAAAATGGTTATTTTCATCAATTGTTTTAGCATGTCTGAACTAGCTAACGCCTGGGAAGAGTTTTATTCAATGCGATTTTCCTTTTTGTAGCTGTGCAGGATATTTTTATGATTGTATTAAGCATATGGTGTTCTTTGTATATTTATTCGACATGCATTATGTAGCTCATTTGAGCCCATTGCGATCTAAGGTCCAACTTCACAAACCACCCAGATAGGGGAGAAGCACCATACATATATTCCTTTTTCTTTTGTTTCAATTATTACTTGTTTGGTAAATAGAAAGGTGGAAATAGAAATCAATAAAACTAGTGAAATACAAGAGTACTTGAAACAAGAAATGAAGTAGAAATTTCGTTACCGAAAATAAAGGTGTCAAGACTTTTGTTTGGAATGTACTCGTACACAAGCAACTTGTCTTCTTCATTTAGGCAAGCTCCTAGTAACTTAACTAGATTCCTGTGTTGGAGTTTAGCAACTAACAAGAGCTCGTTTTTTAGCTCACGCAGACCTTGCTTTGATCCTTTTGCTAGTCTTTTTACTGCTATTTCTTGACCATCTGGCATTAAGCCCTGAAAAATAACAACATAAATTAATGAACAATTATACGATTGGCTACATGTATCTGCAACTACTCATGGCAGTATTAAGTGTACCAGGTAGAAACTAGCCTTATAGCAGGATACCAAAAGCTCGAAACTCAAGTGGATTTTTTTTAATAATGGAATTTATTCCGGCCTTAGATTCGAAGATACATCTAATTATTACAGGGATTACAGGTCGAAACTCAGTGAATAGGTCAATTACAAAGTGAGATTATTAATGCGAATTTTTCGAATATATCACGGTGGCTTTTCTATTTAATGTGAGCCATGTAGATTCAATCCAATAAGGTTTATCCTGTTTCAAGGATTTTATTTCTTGATTAGGAGAACAATGAGCTCTCTTAAAATTGAGAAACAATGATTAGGAAGCTGAAAGAAGCAATACTGGATTTATTTTTGGATCACCTTATAGACTTTGCCAAATCCTCCTTCCCCTAGTTTGTTTTCTTCAGCAAAATTACCTGTAGCTGATCTTATCACTGATGGGTCCAACAACACTGATTTAATATCTTCAACTTCCTCTGAACAAGCTGTATGAAATTAACAAAAAGAGAATTGAATTGTTTTTTATTAGATCTGATAAAATAGAGGTTAGAGAGAACATCTATTTTGATTGGTATGTATGTTACATATATAAATATTTTTTTTTGAAAAGAACATAGATAAATATTGATTAGGTCATAAGATTTTTCCAATGAACAACATAATTCTCTGAAACTTTCAGGGCAGAGTGTAGAGGCCAGAGAGAGAAAGCTATAACATATTGTAATTGTATTGATAGTACTGTAATGATGCTTACATGATTGCCTTCTCTTCAAACTTGATCTGTTTCTCCACAGGCATATTGAAATAGCTGAGATTATACCAAGTCCTATCGACACAGGAAGGACAATTGGCAGGATTGCAGGGTTACTCTTGCTACTGCTTTGGCTGCTGCTGCTGTTTCCAGTTGAGCTATTGCCGTTTGCCTGCTGATTAGTACCATTTCCTTTATCTGTGTACTGATACAAATAATTAGACTGAAAAACGAACATCTGTGGATCAATCACATGTATGATCCACGATTTCATTTTTTTCAACTATATAAGTTAGAGCTTCATGAAAGGGGGAAAAATAAAACCCAATCGTTCAAATTTCAAAAGAATATTACACATATTAAGTGTTCTGCGATGCGAGTGATAATGCACTAGGAACACACGTGCGTCAAAATAGCAATGCTGATAATTTAATCATTTTTAATGCAATTTTGGGTCAGTGGATAAGCAATGAAAATGCTGGAGATGACAATCAGGGAGAGTCATACCAGGAACCAGCCCTGGCAAGGAGATGCCGGCTTGGCTGCAGCTGTAGGGACGCTGGCCGGCGACGTTGCCCGGGGGGTCGTAGTTGCAGGCGATGAACGTTCCGCCACCCGCACTGTCGTCACAGGTCACGCTCGCGCACCCAACCCTTGTGGAGTTGGTCCACATGAGCTGGGTGTATTCACCGCACTCCTGCCCGTCTTTGCACGTGTTGCCGGTGCAGTTGTAGTTCTTCGCCTCCCCTAGCCAGGAGAAGAGCGCGTCCGAGGCGGTCCAGCTTATGTGGGCGACTCCCTGGAACAGGTTCTCGCCGTACGGGCCATTGGAGTGAACGTTCCTGCAGTCGCTCTTCCGCTTCTCGGCGTAGTCTGCGGCGTAGGCGGCCACGGTGCTGTCCCAAGAGAGCATGCCCGCGCCAACGCCTGCCCGGGCTGCGTTGTGGAGGTTGAGGAAATCTTGCGGTGAACTCTGCGCTGCAATGCCCAATAAAATTGGAACAAGAGAAGTTTTAAAGACAACTGATTTAGTTCGAATCTTTTTACTAACAAATCAAATAAGATGATAATAGCATTACCAACAGATTACCTATAATACCCCTTAAAAATTGTTTTTGTTTCTTTAAATTGAAAATAAGGAGTAAAAAAACTCCTCCCTCCAACAGATAGCCTAAATTCAATCCCTAAAACTTAAAAGTGAACCCTTCTGTTAAACTACAAATAGAACATTCCATCTTTTTTTCTTTCACGCACAGAAAGATCGCTATCTACCACGCGCAGGAACGGGAGGAGAGAGGCAGGAGTACGAGATTGGGAGCGACTTTCGCTCCCGCATATAGACGGAGCGAGGAATCGGGAAAAGGGAACTCCAAAACTCGGGTAGGAGAGTAAGGGATCTGTTGGAGCTGTTTTTTAAACTAAAATCCTTCAAAATTAGTTTTATGAATCAGATAGGTAAGCTGTTGGTGATGCTCTAAGGTTTGCTTTTTAGCCTAAATTCTTCCCGCGAGCCTCGGGTTAGACGTGCGGTTGGGAGATACACATCCCGTTTTCACCCCTACTGAAGTGTTGAACATGTTCAACCTTTTACTGGAGTGTTAAACTCGATCTAGCTAACTTCTGGCGGCAGTCATATCAACCCCACATTACATAGGTATTTTGTCATGTTTCTTTTCATGGGACAGATGATATGTCTACCAAATATGAAGAATCAAATGAATCTTACATACTCCCTTCGTTCTAAAATATAACTATTTCTAGAGTTTTCTCATGGAGATAGACATGTACAATGATCGCCAATTAGGAATATTGGTTGACATGAAAGAGAGAGACAAACATATCTTTGCTACGGTTAACAACATACAACAACGACTCTCATATTCAATAAAATAGAAACTTTGTTGCACGAAAAAAAAAAGAATAGTAATGAAAAAAATATTTTGTAGATTATTGGTTAAAAAAGAACGCACGCCCTTCATTAATTGTCGCGGTTGGTGAGAGATGAGTAGGGTTGTTGAGATGAAGTATACTCCCTCTGTCCCAAAAAGACCGAATTCTTCGGTTTTCGTGTCCAACGTTTGACCGTCCGTCTTGTATGAAATTTTTTTATGATTAGTATTTTCATTTTTGTTAGATGATAAAATATGAATAATACTTTATGCATAACTTATCTGTTTAAATTTTTTCATAATTTTTTCAAATAAGACGAACGGTCGAACGTTAGATACGGAAACCCAGGAATTGAGTTTTTTTTAGGACGGAGGGAGTATTTTTGACATTTCATAATCATAAACATTCATCAATACTTCAGATTTTGGGGTATATTTTGAGCGTTAGAGGTAGGTTCGGGACATATATAGGGATCACCTGTTTGATTGAAGCGGCCGCATCCGCCGTACGCCAGGACACCCAGCACATTGCCGGGGGGATCGTATTCGCAGATTATGAACGTGCCGCGGTCCGCATCGCAGTTCACGGCCGCGCACCCGACCTTGGTCGTCTTTGCCCACACCATCTGCGTGTAGTGACCGCATTTGTAGAACTGCTTCTCCGAGTGCCCACCTTGGTCACCGGCGCACGAGCCGTCGCTGCAGTTGTAGAACTGCTTCTCCGAGGCCCACGAGGCTACCGCGTTGGCGGCCGTCCAGTTGGCGCCCGCGCTGCCCCAGAATATGCTCTCCCCGTATGGTCCGCCGGAGTGCTGGAGGTTGCAGTCGCCTTTCCTCGTGGCGGCGTACCTCCGTGCGTAGGCCGCCACCGTGTCGTCCCACGTGAGCGGTGCGACGCCGACGTCGGCGCGGGCTCGGTTCTGGAGGTCCAGCTAGGAAGGGCTGCGCTGAGCCTAGGGAATCGGCTGCGGCGGCGGCGGCGGGGGCGACGAGCACGGTGACCACGCACAGACACGGCAGCAGGAGCACGGCCATCCGTGCCGCTCCCGCGCGCCTGCTTCTTGCTTAGAGGTGCGTCGGTGCCTCGCTAGAAAGTAGGAGTAGAAAGCGCAAGGGACCGTGCTCAAAGGGGCGTTTACTGGTGCCAGCACTCCTCTCAGCACGGTCTCGATTGGCTGCTCTGCCTTATTGACCACGACTTGGTGAAGGACAAGTCCACGCGATCTGGTACAAACGATGGGAAAGGCTATCTAAAAATAACAATGCCCCGGGGCCCACCCACCCATGAACAGTTCAGGTGTCTATCTTCTAGTTCTAGGGCTGTGTGTAGTTCCACGCTAAAATTGAAAGTTTGAAGAAACGGATTTGGTATCCTACTGTCGACAGTTTTTAGGGGTGAAAACTATCGAATTTTTAACCGTACGATATGCTTTGAGATTTGTGCTGTGGAGGAAAAAAAGTTTTGAGATTTGTGCTGTGGAGGAAAAAAAGTTTTGAGGGGTGAAAACTGTCGAATTTTTAACCGTACGATATGCTTTGAGATTTGTGCTGTGGAGGAAAAACGATATGCTTTGAGATTTGTGCTGTGGAGGAAAAAATGGAAAAAAATAACCTAATGCTCGCGGCAAGGATAGAACCCAAGACCTACAGCTTGCATGCTTGTTCAACTAACCAATTGCTCCATCCAATTTTTCAGTTACATATGAGTTACATATTACTTATATTGCAGTTATATAGTAGTTACAATGTAATTATATAGTAGTTATAATTGAAAGTTTTTCATTCAAAAAAACTGTCGAATGTTGTATAGCTACTCCCTTGAAGAAAATTGGAACGATATGATGGAAAAGTTAAAAGTTTGTGTATGTAGAAAAGTTTGATGTGATGAAAAAGTTAAAAATTTGAAGAAAATAGCTGGGAACTAAACAAGGCCTAGGTGGAAAAGGCGATTGAAATATTCCAAATACATTTTGTCAATTGACGTATCTGCTCAAATTCTGTTGGGCATTTGGGCTTTTGTTTTGTTTCCTGGATTCGTGGGCTTTCCTCTTTTCTTTTCGGCTTTAAAGACCTTGTAAATTACCATTTTTTATGGACTTTCTTGGGTGTGTTAGGTGCTCTGGGTAAACGGTGCGTTTTTTTTGCAAAATGTTGTTATACAAAAGTTGCTTAAAAATTAAATTAATTTATTTTTTTAAAAAATAGCTAACACTCAATTAATCACATGCTAATGGACTGCTCCGTTTTCCGTGCGGAGGAGATGGGCTCCCAACCCTAAGTTACAAACGCAGCCTTAGTTTGGGTTGTTTTGTCGAGTGGGCTTCATCTTAAAATGAAATTGTGGTTCTACTCTGGGACAATCTAACCCAAGACAACCACATACAAAAATAAGATATTGAGCCTCCCATATTTAGGAACGAAATCGGTTCAGATGGTTTCCGATATCCAGATACATTTCCAGAAACATTCTTGGATGCATAAATTTAGATAGGGAAATGAATACGGAGATAAAAAAATGGCTGGAAACTATCAAGAGTATTTTTTCGAATATCTACATATAGAATTTCTTTTAAAAAAATGTATATATACATGCTCTCTATCAAAAGTTATAGATCTACTACTTTGTTTTTTATGGCCTTTTTAGATGAAATTATTTAAAGTGCAAAACAGATATTACAAAACTGTTTTGGAGAGGCGAAATAAAATGAATAATATCTTTAATCTAGACAACGAGAGGTTAACAGGTGAGATGATAAGCTATGCATGGAGGAAGAGGTCTTGAGTTCAAGTAAGGGATAAAGAAGTGAAAAATGGGTCTATTAAGAGACTGACTATAAAAATTAAGTTTCGCAAATGGTTGTGGAACTGCCTATGAAAATCAACTATATAAAATTTGAAAATGTTGACCTATTATTTCAGAAAAATAACAAGCAAGCTCAATTTAAGGGGTCTTTATATTTCGATAAATAGTTATTGCCGCATTCATCCATTTTATATTCGCTCCGTATTTATACTTGATAATGTTCGTTTTCATTTTTATAACCAGGGTTTTCGATTTCGATTCCGAGTAAAGAAAATATGAAAATGTTATGGTGGAGCTAGTTTTCATCCATTTCCAATCCATTTTCATCCCTAACCGTATTGGGAGTAGCGAGTTTTCCTTTTTTTTCCCTTTTTTGTCGTTTCTGTTCGGTTGTTTTTTTTTCTTTTTTTTCTCCCTTTTTCTCGCTTCTTTTCGGTTTTTTTTCTTTTTTTTCCGGTTTATGTTCTGTTTGGTTCTTTTCCCGTTTATTTTTAAAGATGCATGAATATAAAGTTTGTATTCGTATATATGTAAAGTTTGTATACGCGTATGCAAAGTTTGTATACGCATATACAAACTTTGTATATGTGATGTATTTTCTAGTTTTTATTTTATTTTTTTTAATACGTACGTATATAAAGTTTGTATACGTATATATTTTTTTATACATATATATATATATATATATATATATATATATATATATAATAATAGTAATACTAGTAGTAGTATAACAACAGTAGTGTAGTAGTAATAGTAGTATAGTAGTACTACTGATCACGCGTCTGTTGGGGGGGGGGGGGCAGCGCGCACTCCCGGCCCATACGGCCCACGCAGCGCACGCATGATTTTTCCTTCTCTAATCACCATTGTTTTCTTTTTTTTTTCTGCTTTTTTTTCTTCCGTGATTTTTTTTCGCTTTCCATTTTTTTTTTGCTTTTTTTCCTGATTACTTTTTAATCTTCCAGCAGCAAGTGTTTTCAATTTTTTTTGAAAGTTTTTAAATTTTGACTTGAAAATTTTTAAATCTTAATTTAAAAAAATTCAAATCTCGAGTTGAAAGTTTTTAAATCCGAGTCGAAAGTTTTCAAATCCGAGTTGAAAGTTTTCAAATCTCGAGCTGAAAGTTTTCAAATCCGAGGTGAAAGTTTTCAAATCTCGAGCTGAAAGTTTTCAAATCCGAGGTGAAAGTTTTCAAATCTCGAGCTGAAAGTTTTCAAATCCGAGTTGAAAGTTTTCAAATCTCGAACTGAATGTTTTCAAATCTCAAGTTGAAAGTTTTCAAATTTGAGTTGAAAGTTTTCAAATCTCGAGTTGAAAGTTTTCAAAAATTTTCTTGCAAATTGAAAATTTTCAAAGTTTGAGTTGAAAGTTTTCAAAATTTGAGTTCAAAATTTAAATCTTAAGTCAAAAGTTTTCAAATGTAACTTCAATTTTTTTCAATCTATCAGTAAAAAAAATCTCCTAATAAAATAAAAAATCTATTGTTAATTTCCGTCATTATCCTTAACTACCGTATTCTTCCGAGAACGTGCGCCGCGTGCACGCTAGTTCTGCTCGCGGCGCGTACGCGCGTACTAGGAAGGCCTGATGATCTGACCCTTCCAACAGATCAGATAGCTCACATCCTCCCCGTCCCCGCTTCTTACCGCTGCGTTAATGGGCCACGCATCCTTGCCCTTTTGCCACCGCATTGGGCCGCCTCCGCCGGGCGCATGCCTTTGGGACACGGAAACTAAGGGCAATAGCAGTGCAAGCTATAGGGCCCATACCCCTAGCCCAAAGTCATAGTTCAAAGACACTCACCCCATAGTGGAAGCACCTATATATGTGTAGCTTAATTAGATAGAGACGCAGGTGAAGGAAACGAAGCCCACAGTGGGCGAGACTCTATGCGAGGACACGGGTAGCGCACCCAAATTTATTTTCCTCACCTACCCCTCACCCTCAGCGCATCTCCTCCTTCGCCTCGCCTTCTCTTCCCTCGTCGTGCTCTCCTCCCTCGCGGCGGACGTCGGGGACACCGCCGCTGTGCGCCTCGCCTCGCCGTCGACCGCGCCGCCCGCACCGCTCGCTCCGCCCGCGCCGCCCGCTCCTCCTCCCGCTCGGACTCGGGAGCGGTGGGGGCGGCTGTAGTGGACGGCGCGGCGCCGACGGTGGGAGCGGCGGGAGTGGACGAGACGGCTCCGACGGGCGGCCGGCGGCGGGAGCGGACGGCTTCTACACCTCCGCGGCGCAGGAGGTCGTCGTGGCGGCAGCGGCGGCGGTGGATCTGTCCGCCGTCCCTCCCCTCTCCCTCCCCCACTCCATTGCTTCGACCGCTTCTGCCTCCGGCGAAGCGTCGATCCATCTATCTCGCTGCCGCCGCCATTTTTGTTTCTTGGGAGCTCGCCGGTGACGTGGTATGTGTGTTGGTGGTGTGTGTTCAGATTTGTTGATTTGTGTTCGATTTTTGTTTACTTGCCCTCGATTTGTGTTCTTTGATTTGTTGCATTGTTCTGATTTGGTTTTGATTTTGATTTGTGTTGATGCAGCTGGAAGTGTGCTAGGCGCCTCCCAGCTCGTCGGGCACCCCGGTGGCAGCTGCGGCGCCGTCCGACGAGATGGCGAGGCCGCCCTGGATTTTGCTGTAGCGGGAGTGGATTCGGAGGGCGTATCGGGGATTTCGCCCTTGGATTTCACCGCGAGGGCACGTGTGGGCGAAGCCACGACGCCCACAGCATGCACGCCTCCAGTCTTCTCCTCTGCTCACGGCATCGTTTTGACGAAGTCCTGCGTCGCTCAACATGGAGACGAGGTTCCAACTTGAGACGCGGGTCCGAGCGACACGACAGCAAAAATCCAACGTGGCGCCTCATAGCACCGGTCCAGGGTGGAGCACTGTGAAAGGCCTAATGGGCCGCACGTGTTTGCAGCTAACTTGGCCATCTGTGCCTTGCTCAGTTGCAAGTGCACGTGTTGGAACGTGTACCCCACGGGCATGCAATCTCTTCTATAGGTCGGCTCGGAAGACTTGGACGAAGTAATTTGTTAATTAGTAACCGCCGAATTTATTCCTGATTAATTTACATAAATTCATTTATATTTCTTCTTAGCTATTTAAAATTGCTAAAAAAAATTATGATCAATTATTTGATCACTCAAAATTATTTCTTATTAAATTGAACCAATGGAAAGTTTGGTGAGAAAGTATTAATGATATGATATTGTACTTGACCAATGTTATTATATTTTCATATCAAATTTTATTATGATTAATGTTGATTTAATTAAGGAATTAGTTTTCTGTTATTTCATGATCTTTTTCTTCCCAACGATGATTTTATTATAGAAATTTATGAAACAAATTATAGGTTCGTTCTTGCATCAAACCTAGGTGTACCGTGTACTGTCGTTTATTGGTTGTGGATCTAGAGCTGTGAAGCGACCTGAAGGCCGCTCAAATCCACACGTTCGCGTTCATTATTTGGGCCTTTAATTGGGGCTGATCCAACCTGCTAGATCTGCTTCGTGTTTTCAAGGTTCTAATAACGTTTTGTTGAGATCTATCCCAACAGAAGAGAAGCGAAGAATCCGGGGGCTGGAGCTTCACCAAACATGGTCTAAAATGGATATAGCAGGTTCATACCACGTACCTGTTTGATTGAAGTGTCCGCATCCGGCGTACGCCTGGACACCCGGCACGTTGCCTGGTGGATCGTACTCGCACACCATGAACGTGCCGCGGTTCGCGTCGCAGCTCACGGACGCGCACCCGACCTTGGTCGTCTTCGCCCACACCATCTGCTTGTAGTGGGTGCACCCTCGCCCACCGGGAGCGTCGCACGAGTCGTCGCTGCAGTTGTACCACTGCTTCTCCGAGGCCCACGAGGCCACCGCGTCGGTGGCCGTCCAGTTGGCGCCCGCGCTGCCCCAGAATATGTTCTCCCCGTATGGTCCGCCGGAGTGCTTGAGATCACAGTCACCTTTCCTCGCGGCGGCGTACTTCTCCGCGTACGCGGCCACCGTGCCGTCCCACGCGAGCGGCGCGACGCCGACGTCGGCGCGGGCCTGGTTCTGTAGGTAGAGGAAGCGCTCGGTACTATTGCGGGGGATGCCGAAGCCGCTGTCGCCGTAGACGTAGGCCGCGATCGCGCGCGGCAGCAGGAGCGTGGTGATCACCACGCACCGCAGCAAGAGGGCGGTGGCGGCGTCCGCGGCCATCTCCGCGCGTGCCGCCGCTCGCGTTCTTTGCTGCTTGTGAAAGGTTTTTCACGTACGGTGCCTCGCTAGAGAGTAGAGACGGCGACGCTGTTGCAGGTGACCGTGATCAAGGGGCGACGACGCTGCAAGGTGACCGTGCTCAAGGGGCGACGCATGTATGGTCAGCATTGGTCTGGACAGGTTGCTGTGCTTGATTGACGACGTCGACGCTACTTAGTGTAAAAAAAATCGACGCGGCAATGGAGAATTCCACACAATAATGCACCGGTGCAGACTGCAGAGGGCTGGGAAAATAGCTCGGGCTCGTCTTGGCTTAGCTCGGCTGATGTCAAACGAGCCGAGGCCGAGCCTGTTCTATGGAGTATCTTGTTTTTCTTTCATCTAAATTACTGTCAGGGCTTTGCCTCGTAGTGAGATTTTTACTAAAAGGAAAAAAATTACAAGAAAGCGTTACAAGGAAAACATAAAAAATATATTATAAAGGTTGTAACCAATTAGAGTAGGTACAATAGCATATTATTAGCCAGCTGTAAACATATTTTAATGAGATAAAAAATGAGAGAGAAGAGCAGCAGACTACAGATTTGTAGCCAGCTGCAGCGTAGACTCCAAAACGCAATGTGTGTGTATGATAAATGGGACCATATATTGATAGTATAGTAAACAACTATTATATGAATTGGCTACTGGATTGGCTATGGTTGAATTGAAGCTAGTAGTAGGCTATACTGTTAAACTTGCTCTTAAACACAATTTGTCTTTGGGAATCATTCATATGGAGTATCTTGTTAAGGAAACGAGCAAATCCCAAGCTGGATTGTGAGCAGGCGAGCAGCTACTTGGGCCACCTAAGTGACACAAGCACCATTAATTCGTGGCTTGACGAAAGTTGGAAGGCAACCAACAAGTCGAACCCATCTAGTGGCGAATCCAAGAAAAGAAACAGAGGGAGTCACTACTTAAAAACAGTTTATGCTGATGGTCAAAATAGGTTTTGCTGGTGGTCAGCTGTACCGCCAGCGATCAAAGGCCATTAAAAATAATATATTTGTGCTAACAAACAGTCGGCTGATAATTTTTGCTGGTAGCAAGGTTAAGTGGACCGTCAACGAAAATAGACTTCTGCAGACGGCAAGATTAAGCCAACCGCCAAAGAAAATGATTTTCCAGAAAAAAATAAATCCCCTTCCCTTTCTACTGTCTTATTTAGGAAGTTGCCAAAAAAAAATAAATTGAAAAATGCACATGAACATCATTCAAACATCAATCCAAATACGTGTTTTCTACCGCCTTCATTGGCTACATGCTGGCTCTTGTGCATGGATATTTGTGTAACACCGTATGCTAGATCTATCACCCGTTTTATTCTCTCCTTCTTTCTCTCCCCTCTATATATGTGTCACACCCTGAAAATTTAAAATTTATAAATTGTTGTTTAATTGGAATTATTAGAAGTTATTTTTAAAAGCCTAGAAGAGAAGATTTAATTTTAATTAATAAATTTCAATATAAAATGGGGCCAGATAAAATTTCATTAAATACTTTGCTTAATTCTATAATTCCTAGATTTTTCTGGGATTTATTTGAGCTAAGGAAGTATTTTTAATAAATGGAATTGCATTTCATAAATAATTTAAATTGAAAAAAGTTTTAAAAAGTCTCTTTTGGCTTTGGGCCGAAAGTCGGCCCAAAACCGCTCTCTCTCTCCTCGGCCCAGTCCGGCCCAGTCCGCCGCCGCGCGCGCGCGCGTCCGCCCGCTGACAGGTGGGGCCCACCTGTCAGGGTCGTCGTCAACCTCCGGCCGCCGCCGCCCGAAACCCTAGTTTCGCGCTGCCGCCGTTCCTTTCCAAATCCGGCCGTTCCTTTCCGTTTCCGGTGAAATTGATTGAGGGGAAACAATCTTTGGGATCTCCTCTACCTTTTCCCCTTTGGAAACATCGGTTAATTCGTTTTGGAAGTTCGTGGAATCGAGTTCGATTCGGATCGGCCTCTTTCCTTCAAACACCGATCTTTCCTTCTCGTCGCCGGTCGCCGTGGGCCTTCGCCGTCGCCTCCGAGCCCCTTTAAAAGGACCCCCGAGCTCTTCTCTACCCGTCGCCTCCTTCGCCTTCGCCTCTCGTCGTCCGTAGTGCCCTAGCACCGTGTAGCTTTGAGCCGCCGTCGTCACCGTCGCTCCAGCCGTGCGCCGCCGCCGTTCCGGTCATAGCCGTCGCTCGGGAAGACCGCCGTCATGATCGCCAAGTCGTCGCCGTCCTCGTCCGCCCCTTGGCCACCGCCGAAGACCGCCAGAGCACCGTCGTCACCGTCGACCCGAAGACCGCCGCCGCTTCAACCTCGTCGCCGTCGCCGTCCGTTGGTCTTCCGCCGCTCCTTTGGTCATCGGTGAGTTCGCCGCGCCGCGCTCTACGTCCTGGTGCTCTCCGTTTGTGCCGTAGCGCCGTCGTTCGCCGGCGAGCGTGCGAGCCCGAGCCGCCGAGCCGTCGTCGGAGGTGACGTCGTCGCCGACGTCATCGTCGCCCTCTTCCGTGAGCCGCCGTGGACCCGATGGATCTCGGCCGTCCGTTTTGGATCAAGTCGATCTCGGCCGTCCGTTCGTGTGAACCGTCGCCCGTGCGCCCGGTTCACCGAAACCCTAGCCGCTGACGCAATAAATCCTCTTTTCCTTTTCAAAAATAATTCATTATTGCGTCATAATTCAATTAAAATCAATTTAAGTGTTTTAATCCGATTAAATCTTCAAAAGTTCATAACTAATTCATCTTAGCTCGGATTTAGTTGGTTCAAGTCTCTAAATTTTTCTAAAATTGAGATCTACATGTTAAAAATATCCACATGTACTGTTCATGCTTGTTTATGTGCTGTTTTGGTGTTTTTGCTCTTTTCTGTTTAGATCCCGTCGTTTCCGGAGAGTCCGTTTTCGCCGGAGAAGAGTTTGAAGAGTTCCAAGGCCAGCAAGGCAAGTCACACAGATCCCAAACAACCCTTTGAGCATGTTGATCCTATTTAAAGCTATTGCTTTTATTCAACTATTGCATTTATTTTCGAATGTCATTGGGTGGAATTAACCTATTGTTTGCTATGGCCCTTTTGTTCTTGATTACTTTATTCCTTGATACCTTGGGTTATTACAATTTGACTAGTTGAGCTTTATTTATATTGGTTCAACTAGATATTAGATATAATTGCTTAGCTATGCTTAGAAACATTAGCACACTATTGGGATAACTTATGACTCACTGTTATTTAATGATGGCTTAATGATAGTTCACGATGGTCAATCGTGATTGATTAATTAATTAATGTGCCAACTAAAACCTGATAATGGTGGGTTGTGAGCACATGGTTTTCATGGTTGTGCTCATGACAATTAAGGACCGGTTCACGAGTTTCGGTTGTGAAACATTAACCGTGCCAACCACAAGCCAGCGTGGGCAACGGCTTTATCTTTTGTATAGCATGGTTCATTGCGGGGCACCAGACTGAGAAGTGGCGGAGATAAGCCCACGGGGGTCGCTGGGGAGTCCATGCCTTGTTTATAAGGGGGTGATTATGATCCAGGAAAGGTGCGCTGCAGTGGATTGTGTTGTACGAGAGGTAATGTCACAACTCCTTTCCGAGGTACCGTGGTGGTATTGAGGCACATGGTGACATGATGTGGGGTTGTCTTGTGGGTACAGTGGTACACCTCTGATCAGAGTAAAACTATTCGAATAGCCGTGCCCGCGGTTATGGGCGGGTCTAACAATGTCTTTCGTGATTAGTCTCACACTTCTCACCATAATAGAAGATGCTATAACTAGTAATAATTTGATTAGCTCCTGGTTTGGAATGGTATATTCCTGGTTTGGAGATAGAACTGTGCAGCCGGGATGGTTGTTCAGAATGGTTGGGCCTATACAACAGGGTATGTTGTATAGCGTTGGATTAATATTGTTTAATACTTAACTGTTTTATTAAATTCTCAAATGTTTGCTAAATGCTGCTTTTGCAAATGGAACCCTATTATGCCATCCTTTGTTATCCTGTGCACTTGCATATTTGCTGCGTGGCTTGCTGAGTATGTCATATACTCACCTTGCAATCATTCATCAGAGGAAGAGTTCTACAGTGAAGCTGATGGTGTGGAGGATTAGGTGTAGCCCTGGTCAAGCTGCCTGTGGAGTGGAGCCGTCTGCGCCGTTTATTTTATTTTCCGCTGCTTAGATCTTTATTGATTGAGAGGAACTATCTACCTCTGTAATGACATTTTATTCGCGTATTAATTAGAGTAATAATTGTACTCTATTATCAATTTGTTATTGTGTGCCTCGGCTGATTCCTGGACGAGGGTTCACACACATGTAAGCGTTTGGAATTTTGGATAGAAATTCCGGGCGTGACAATATGAATATGATCATGTGGAATATTTTGGAGTACGCTCACTATCTTTATTGTACCTACTCTAATAGTGAGTGTAAGATAAGTTCGTATGTAATAGCCAATAGAAGCTAGATTATCCCAGAGATCTTGGAAAATCGAGAAGCAATCTTGAGTGCTTGGTTGGTTGCTCTAGAGAATAGTGGTCCCCACAAAGAGTTATCATGGTGTTACAAAATGTACATATGGCATTATTCCATGCTTTTACTATAGAAATACTCCCTCCATCCCATTTTAAGTGCAATCATAAGTTTCTGTGCTCAATTTTAATCGTTCGACTTATTTGAATTTTTTATAATTAGTATTTTTATTGTTATGAGATAATAAGATATAAATAGTACTTTATACGTGACTTATGTTTTAAATTTTTTTAAATAAGACGGACGATCAAAGTCATGCATGAAAAAACATGGCTGTACTTAAAATAGGATGGAGGGAGTACTTACCAATAGTCGCTCAACTAGCACGTAGTCTTTGTTGACGGTCATTATCGATCAGTTTCGACCGTCAATATTACTAAAATAGAGGAGAACTAGTGATGCTTGCAATGCATAAATATATTAGAATAATAATATTTCACTAGTATTAGGTATACTAACCTTTTGCAGAGAATGACAATAAAGTGGAGGAGAATCGACATCAACTCAAACGATA